GGGGGTTGGGCTGGGGTCCAGCTGCCAGGACCCCGGACAGGCCTCTTCTCCAATCTCCCCTCCTCCCTGCTACCTCTCTTAGTCAATGACAGCCTGCCGCAGGTTCCCGGGACTTGGGCGTGCCAGGTCTGGGGTGGCAGTGGAAGGGAGGGCAGGAGGAAGCGAGGGCAGCAAAGGGAGGCTGGTGGCCCTTCTGGGAGGAAGAGGGGAAAGGGGCAGATCCTGGAAGGTTGCGGGGCTGGGATTTGTTGGGGAGGAGGGGCGAGCTATGGAGAAGGGTGTGGAGACTTGACATTCAGGTCACTGTGGAGAGGATCAGGTGGCACTGGTGGCCTTTCCATTTGCTGAGGGAACAGAAATCCTGGAAGGGGCAAGAGCCAGTGTGCTAAAGGAACCGTATCTGAGGTTTGCCGGAGCCTGGAGCTCAGCCAGGAGGATCGGGGCTGACGGGATCTCTAGGGCCACTGTGACAGGGAGGAGCCAGGAGGCAGGAGGTGCTCCTGGCCCACACGAGGGGCTCAAGGACACGCACACACTCACGGCTGGGATGAATGGGACGCTCACTTTGGCAGGGCTGTGCCCCCAAAAGGGGTTGGAGCATGTGAAGGAAGCATTTTAGGGTGGATCCAGCTTTAGGTGCTGTTTTAAAGCTCCTGGGCCTGGGGGAAAGGTGTGGGTGCTGAGCTTGGCAGGAAGAAGGGGTTTCATATTTCTGAGAGTTTCCTGAGTTTCCCTGGATCTTCCCTGGACCTGGGGCTAAAAGGAGGAAGGCTGTGGGAACAGTAGCTCATGGGACCCTTGGCCTCACAGAGGCGAAAGCTGCTCCCGCTGCCTGCCGAGCTTGGAGCCCTGAGCGAGGGTGAGGTCTGAGGGCGCAGGAGCGGGAGAGCCAGGATGGAGGGGTCTGGAAGAGGGCTCTTTTGTTTTTGGGGAGGGGGCCTCGGGGCTTCGAGGCCTGGTTATGGCAGCCTCTGTGATGAGGGGGAGTGGCCCGGTGCTGGCAAGGAGCTGAGATAGGATTGAGCCAAAGATGTGAGGGTGTGTGTGTGCCTGTGTGTCTGTGCAGCATGTGCCTGTCTGTGTGCGTTTGTTTGTGTGTCTCTGGGCTTGCCTGCATGGGTCTCTGTAAGTGTGTGTTTGTCTTGGTATGTGTCCATGTGTGACTACGTACGTATCTGTGAGTGGATGTATTTGTGTTTGCTTCTCTGTGCGTGTGTGTATGGTGGGGGTGCTCAGAGAAGCCCCCGTAGGTGATCGTTATACATTGTGATTGTACAATTTGACTCTTGGCCATGACCCCTTGTAAAAGGAGTGCTGTAGGGTGCCTTCTTGAAAGCTGTTTGTTTGGACCCCTTGTTAAGCTGTTCTGTATACACTCCTTGGCTGCACCCCGCACCGGCTTGCTCACTTTGGCTTCACAACAATACTGACAGCGAACGTTGCTCTTTTTTTTTTTAATATTTTTTTTATTGGGGAATTGGGGGGATNGGGGGCGAGGGGACGGGCACCCCCCACGGCCTAGCCTGACATCTGCACGCAGGCGCCGCCTGGACGCCCCAGAAGCCCTACCCAGAGGAGCTCCTTCCTGCTGAAGTGGGAAGCCGAGTGGAAACTAAATCCTGGATGGCAGGGACGCGGCCGGGGTGACGAGAGGTCATGAAGTTCCGCTGCCCGTGCTAGTCCCCTTCCAGGCTGCGGTCAGCCGACCCCTGCGGGGAATGTGGGGCACGCTGGGGGGCAGAGATGGTAGAGGGCGACTTGCCCCAGCTCGCCGACCTCTGGAACCGCCTCCGTCCTTCCCAGGCCCCTGCCAGGTTGCAGGGGTTTGAGGGCTTGTCAGCCACAAGCTCCCGCTGGCTCCCGCGGCTCTCCCGCCCAGCCAGAGCCCGACCGCTGCCTGTCCTGGTCCCCGGGCTCCAGGCCAGGATCCTGCCTGATACCGGGTCTGATGAGGGAGCGGGTGTCCAGGGGCTGCCCATCCTGTCACCACTCTGGGGCTTGTGGTTCCTCCTTTTCCTCTCACCTGCTCTTCCACCGAGAGAGGACGAGAAAGGAGGCGGCCCCTTTCCCAAACCTGTGCCTGAGAGCACCTGTTCACCCCTTGGACCCAACCTGCAAGCTAGACGGGGCAGGGGGGAAGGATTCTGTGAGCCCCGCAAGGCCTCTGTCATCAGATGGGAAGCCCTAAAAACAAACCCCAGGTGCTATGTGATGATGGGAGGACACAAGATGTCACCTGGGTTTTGTCATTTGGGCATGACGATGGGTCTCACTCGAGGGGTGAGGGAAGGAGTCCTTGAGGGCTGAGGTCAATGGCTCCTATGGAAAGCGGCGCACCCCCAGTCCCCGGAAGTGAGAGTGAGGTGCCCCCCAGCCATCTCTCCCTCCTTGCCCCAACCACACACCAGGCAGTGATCATGACTCAAGGCTCCCAGTGCAAAGGAGAGACCACTTCTGTCCTGGAGCAGAGGCGAGGCAGGCGCCACCAGCCCCATCTCTGCTCCGCTCCGCTTGAGTCTTCTGGAATGGACCGGCCTGCCAGGAAGCTGGGTCACCCTTGGTCTTCCTGGGCTTGCCTGCCTTCCGGGGAACACAGGTGGGTCACATTCATATTATCTTTTGTGCTCTGCCAGAGGCTGGTGTGTGCGTGTGAA